AAAAAAAAAAAAAAAGGATGATGGCTCATCAAACAAAATTCATTTTCCTATGTTTCCTTTAAATCTGAGAGTGAGACTTTTGAACTAGGTATGGTCAGTGTTCCCATCAGTCTGAAGCAGCCATAAGAAGATGGACAGACCTTTGACCCCTATGCATCCCTTAACAATAAGGGATCAAAGTTGGGGTGGGAAACTGAGGTAGAATAGAAGAAATAAAGATAGGTAGAAAGGAGACAAGGAATGGCCAGGGATGTGGCTCAGTGGTGCAGTGCCTGCCTGGCAAGCATGAGGCCCTGAGTTTGATTCCCAGTACAAAAAAAAAGGAGACAAGAAAAATTATAATTTAAAAATTGTACTTTTGTTCAAGGCAAGCCTCACTACATAGCATGACCCTGTCTCAAAAAACAAAACAAAATAAAAACTGTACTTTAAGAAGACTACAACTGCCAGGGATTTAGCTCAGTGGTTCCCTCGCCTGCCTCACAAGTGCAAGGACCCAAGTTCGATCTCTGGTACAAAAAAAAAAAAAAAGAAGACTACAACTGTAGGATACAATCAAAGTTTCCAAAGGTTATCTGTATCTGTACTCCCTAGGCTTGAAGCTTCACATTTCTTTTCTTCCTGGCCTATCATACCCCAAATCCCTTAAAGACACTTTTTATTTTTTTATTTATTTTGGGGTTTTTTGTGTTTTTTTTGGTACTGGGATCAAACACAGGACCTTGTGCTCAGGATCTTGGCAGGCTCGGTGCCACTGAGCTAAATCCCGGGCCCAAAAGGCACTTTTAAAATTTTTTATTTTTTTTGGTACCAAGGATCAAACTCAGTACCTTGTACTTGTGAGGCAGGCACAGTGCCACTGAGCATTTTAAATCCCTGGCCCCCAAAAGACACTTTTTAAATCCATAAATTAGCTTAGTTGATGAGGTAAAAGGCAGAAACCTAACCTTAAGAAAAACAATAGACTGGGCTCGTGATTTTCTCCTATAAAATGGGCTATCCTTTCACCTGTGAAATAAGCCATAATCTTCTTTATTCCTATTGCTTTTCTTCCATAAACCAACCCTCAGGGCTGGGGATTTAGCTCAGTGGTTTCGCCACCTGCTACACAAGCTCAAGGACCCGAGGTCGATCCCCAGTACCAAAAAAAAAAAACCAAAACAAAAAACCAACCCCCAACTTTCTATAGATTCACAAATTCCATGGCCAAAACCACAAATATTCCCAGCTCCAGATTATAATTCCTATTCATTCTCTCTCTCACCAATATTCTATTTCTTTGTACTTTAAATTCTGCCTAATAAATCCTTCTATCTAATCCCTCTCTCCCTTCCTCTCTGGCACTGTTTCCTCAGCTTCCCAGCCACCAGGAACTAAGCATCTTTCTCTGCCACACCCTTTTCCCACAATGTTCCTGCCTTGGAGCTGGCTTACTATGGACTGGCTCCCTGAAACCATGAGCCAGATTAAACTTTTCTCCTTTGAGTGTCGGTGGTTCTCAGCAACAGGAAAGCTGACTAATATTGCCCTTTAAAATGACTAAAGAACAAATAACTTTGTTCAATATCCCTCCTTAATGAGTAAGACAAATAATATAAACAGCTAATACTATTCTACATGAGATACTGTACCCTGTATAATTTACCCCTTCCCTATACTTTATTACCTCTACCACTTTCCCAATTCACATTTCAGCTCCACTTTCTTTCTCAAGCTCCTTTAAATAAACCAGACATATCCCACTTCACAACCTGTGCAACTGCTCCTTCACCCAGCTCTTTCACCCGGATATCTGGATGGCTTATTCCTCCAATGTTGCCTTACCACAGAGGACTTCCCCACCTATCATGGGTTACAGCAGTCTATATCCCCAGCACTTAGAATACTGTTGAGAATATAGTAGGGATATAATTACTATTTGCTGGGCTAGGGATTTAGCTCAGCGGTGCCAAAGCTTTGCCTTGGCAAGCTCAAGATCCTGAGTTCGATCCTCAGTACCAAAAATTGCTGAATAATTTTTTCAGATTCAAATATTCAAAAATAGGAAATATTTCCAAGTCAAACACTGAAAAATGAAGTCCTAGTTATATTTCAATTTTCTGAGAATTTGTCTTAATTCTACTTTGTTTTCATTGACACCAATGGAGCTCTGTGTACAGTATCTATTTGTTTAATCCTTATGGAGTTTTAGTGAATTTAAAAATTATTTTCCGCTCTAAGAGGAGAGGGGTATAGGTGTAAAAATGATCGAGATGCGAGATGTATATGTACTAATCACCAAGATGATTACAGTTATGTATCACAAACATATACTAAAAATAAAATACAAAAAAATCACTCTCAACTCCATTAAAATTTTTTTGTTTTTTATTTTTGTTTTTTTGAGGCAGGGTCTCCCTTTGTAGTTCAGGCTGGCCCAGAGCTCATTATGTAGCCCAGCCTGGCCTCAAAATTGTGGCAATCCTCCTGCCTCAGCCTCCTGAGTGCTAAGATTACAGGTGTGCCCACACATGCAGCTAAAAATATATTTTTTTGACACAGAGTCTTGCTATGTAGTTCAGGGTGGCCTTGAACTCACTATGTAGCTCAAGCTGGCCTTGAAGAGACAGTGATCCTCCTGCCTCAGCCTTCCAAGTACTGGGAATACTGGCATGGACCACCATGCTTGGGTCAATTTCAAAAATATTAAATACCTACTGTAGACAATACCACCTTTCCTCAATTATTTAATTATTATGTGAAAACAGGGAAGAGGAAATTAAATTCATGCATGTTCTCCAAACTCCATTTTCCCTAGTCCCCAAATTATAATTGATTGAAGATGCAAATAAGTATTTATATCAACAGATCCCAAGTTCCAATTATTCTTTTTCTTATCTATCCATTATGAGAAATAATGACAATAAAAATTTATAGTTGTTTAAAATAAAACATAGAAAAAGTGTAGTAGCAAAAAAAAAGTATAGTAGCATTATGATCAATCAATCTCAATAAATTATTTTTACCACGGAACATGTCTAGCACGTGGAGGGAATGGTTGACTGGTACTGAAACTTAAACAAAAGGATACTTTTGTGGACAAAGACAAGATCAGTTTGGCCCAGTTGGAAGGCAGTCACTGTGGCCGTTTTCTCATCCAGTAAAGCCACTTTGCTAGAAAGAGATCCATTATGTGCAACTCTATGATTCTGCAATTCCAGTGTGTAATGTTCCAGGGGAAATTTCACCTCTATAAGACACGAAAGATACATAAACGTAATGACAACAGCCATTCCAAGTGACAGTGGTTACTGCTGGATTTTAAGAGAATGATCTGAGGGAAGCCTAAACAGAGTATGTCCTCTTTCTGATTTCTCTCGCACTATAAATTTCTACAGGTAGCCACTGGGAGAAGAGGGGATGATACATGAGGTGACTGTTGGTATTGCTGGCATTCTTTACAGCTAGTGAACTAGATAGCAGGAGGGATTGCCATTGTTAGATAAGTAAGGAAAAGTGCTAAAGTACACTTTATAAACTCAACAGGACTTCTGGAGTCAACAGAGTGATTAAGCTTTTAGCTAAGGAACCGAGTTGCTCAAGAGACAACTTTTTGGTTTTGTTTCTTTTTTGGAACCGGGGATCGAACTCAGGACCTTGCGCTTTTGAGGCAGGTGGCAGCACCACTGAGCTAAATCCCTGGCCCTCAAGAGACAACTTTTGCAAAGATCAGTGAGCATTCAAGCCCCTGCACTTGCCCCACAAAAGCTGGTAAATTCTGGGTGGCTGTTTGAATAGAGAAGTCAGATGCCTATGGGTACTGAAGCTAAGTAGCCTGAATGTGTCAGGAACCTGTTTCAAGATATGGGGCTATTTCTTTCCAGTATTAGTGCAAGTAGAGTGGTTAAGAAGTACTTTTCAGGGCTGGGATTTAGCTCAGCGGTTCTGCCGCCTGCCTTGCAAGCACAAGGTCCTGAGTTTGATCCCCAGTACCCCCAGAAAAGTATTTTTCATATATATAAGAGTGTTGTTTGTACTGTTATCACCAGAAAGGATTTGGGAAACATGATTTAGAGGAAGACAAAGCAACTTACCTGTCATTATTCCCTGAACCATTTTTGCAGCTTTGTACTTAACATATGCTCCTACTAAGAGATAAATATCATGGGACGGTATAAGAAAGACATTCTCTAAAACAAGGAGATGTATCAGTGCTGCTGCCACATTCTAAAAGAGAAAGGAGGGAGAAAATGTTTCCATAGACAAAATCCTTAAGGGCATTTTCCCTGTTAAAAGCTCAGGTTCGGGCCGGGGATTTAGCTCAGTGGTTCTGGTGCCTGCCTCGAAAGTGCAAGGTCCTGAGTTCGATCCCCAGAACCAAAAAAAAGAAAAGAAAAGAAAAAAAAAAGCTCAAGTTGGGCCAGGGATTATTTTATTTAGCTCAGTGGCACTGTCCTGGCCTTGCAAGCACAAGGTCCTGAGTTCAATCCTTGGTACTGCAAAAAAAAAAAAAAGCAGCTCAGGTTTTAAAAGTTTTTTAAAAAATTTTAATGAAGATTTAAAAGATGCTCTTTCTGAATGACAAGTCATAATTTCAGTTAGCCTGAATAGTGATCATGAATCATAATACTGTATTAACTTTCTAAGTTGCTTATTAGCTAAGTCATTCAGACTAAGAATAAAAAAATGAAAAACCTAAAAGAAGTAAGCCAGGCATGGTGGCTCACACCTGTTATCCCAACACTCAGGAGGCTGAGGCAGGAGGATGGCCACAAGTTCCGGGCCAGCCTGGGCTGCATAGCGAGACCCTCTCTCCAAATCAAGCTGAAGCATAAAATAAAAATGTATGTAAGAGACAGCTATTGTTTGTAAAAAATTTAAATGTTTTGAACTGTAATTCTTTGTCTGTTTTTGGTACCAGGGATCGAACTCAGGACCTTGCCCTTGCGAGGTAGGTGTGGCAACACTGAGCTAAATCCCCAGCCCCTAAAAATTTAAATGTTTTGAAAAAAGGTAAAGACAAGTTGCTAGTAAGTGCTACCAAATTAGAAACAGGTGAGAAATGTAAAAGCTCGGGGGGAAATCCATGAAGACATGGAATTTTGCACTCAAACTGTTTCACATATGTCTAAATTTTCATTTGACCATAGGAAAAAATGAAACTAGATACCATACTTTATGCAAGAAAGAGTATGTCAATTTCTAAACAGTGAATTCATGGTCAGAGAAAGGCCTAGGACCAATATCAAAGGATTGATCAATAAAATGCCAGTCCTATTTGTAATTATAACTAACTAATGCTGTAAAATATATTTTGAGAATATTTTAATAAAAAATCCCAGTCATATTTGTAATTATAATTAGATGATACTCTAATATATTTAAGAAAGATAAGTGTTTTTTATTGTTTATCTTCAAGTGACTTTTTTGGGTGGGTGTGGTGGTGCAGTCCTGTGATTCTAGTACTCAGGAAGCTGAGGCATATATGGTAGTGAGTATCCCCTCTTATCATGCAGGAGGCTGAGGCAGGAGAATCGCCATGAGTTCGAGGTCAACCTGAGCTACATAGCGAATTCAAGGCCAGGCTGAACTATACAGCAAGACTCTGTCTCAAAAAAAAAAAAAAAAAAAAAAATCAACAATTGGTCAGAAAGCTTCTACTGTAGATAAACATAAGAAACTATATTTTCCACAGAAGCAAGATGAAAGATGAAAGTTTATAACACAAACTTTTTACCTTATAGAATGATTCATAAATTTGAACTTTTATAGCAGCAATACCAGTTCTAATGCCAGACACCAAAATCCTATCCCCTCATTTCTCTTCTTTTTCCATCTCAACTATGTAGCCTGGGGGAGAATATTCTGCTTCAGGGTATTTCAGAATCCTAAAAATGCAAAACAAAATTTGTTTCTGGAAGACATTAAACATAGTCTCTCTGTCCACACAAGGTGGAGTTTTAAAACTTCTATTTTCCACAAGGTCTATAAGAAAAGTATTTAATATGCCTGTGGCTAAAACTGTAGAACTAAAACTAGGGTGGTCTGAGATCTGCTCCTGGGTACTGAAGACAAAATTTCACAGTATTCTACTCATTCTATCGCAGAATGTGCAGAAGACACACTTGGCTCAAATAATCATATAGTCCTGATCTCAGACTCAAAGTAAACTACCAAAATGGTACCTACATACACTATATGTTATTCTATCAAAGATATTACTGTTTCAAAAAGTCCAGACTCGGCACAGCATCTGCCTGGCCACCGCGAGGCCCTGAGTTCAATTCCCGGTACCCCAAAAATACCCCAAAACAAGTCCAGACAGGGCTGGGGATTTAGCTCAGTGGCACCGCACCTGCCTCACAAGTGCAAGGTCCTGAGTTTGATCCCCAGTACCAGAAAAAAGAAAAGTCCAGACAACAGGATTATCATAGTTCACACAAATAGTAGCTACTCAGTGTGCCACCCAATGGCAGAGGTCTCTTTCAAAGTGAGATGATCAGGCCAGGGATTTAGCTCAGTGGTGCCGCGCCTGCCTCACAAGCCCAAGGTCCTGCATTTGATCCCTGGTGCCCCAAAACAAAACAAAACAAAAACCAAAAAAAAAAAACAAACAAAGTGAGATGATCTACGTTTGGTTTCAAGTTTACCTAATTTTGCTAGACATCTCTTCTCTTGCTGACTTGTCATCCTGAGCAATGGTTCACTCAAACATCATCCCTGCCAAACTGCTAGAAGTATTTCCTGTAGAGCAAGCCAAAAGCAGATAAGATTCAATCATATAACCAAAAATGTTTAAGTATCTGCAACAAGGGAACTCTAACTAGAAAATTATGGGGTTATTTTAAGCAAAACCTTTACTGATACATTTTCGATATACATAATGATAACACTTGTCACAGGGAATGTGCATACCGGAGATCGAACTCGAGTCCTTGCGCTTGCGCAGCAGGCAGTGAAACCACTGAGCTAAATCCCCGGCCCCTACCTCTTTTTTTTCCCATCCCCTCGGCCTCCCCTCTCTTCCCTATATACAAAAGCTTTGTTTCCATTTTTTCCTTCTATTTTCACTTTTTTTTTCTTTAGGCCTCTTTCAGTAACAAGCAAGCACTATAATTAATGAGTTAAAATATTTATGAGGACTATCCCTACAAAATGATATAAGTACTGAGGCTGTGCAAACTTTCCAAAAGGAAAAAATAGTCAAGCTGATTAACTTCTGGATAACAAAAAAAATAACGCCACATTTCTTCTGTTTCTTTCTACAGAAAAGCCGCCTTCAAGGCACCTTTAATCCATTAACACATATTTCCTTTTTCTTTTTGGTACCAGGGATCAAACTCGAGACCTTGCGCTTTCGCTTGGGAAGCAGGCGCTGGAACCACTGAGCTAAATCCCTGGCCCCTCCTTTTTCTAGTTGGTCTTTTTTAGTACTGGAGATCAAACTCAGGATCTTGTGCTTGTGAGGCAGGTGGCGGCACCACTGAGCTAAATCCCTGGCCCAACACATATTTCTATAAAATAAAATTCCAGAGTAACTCATTTTTCAGATTTTAAAAATTACTCTTAATAGTTTACAGATGAAGGGCAATAAAATATTTTAATATCATATTACAGAATTAGTATAGTATACTTAAAGCAATATAGGATTAGTCTCAAGAAGGATTAACTTAAACCTTTACACAAGTTTACATTTACATTTAATCATCCTTGCCTACAGGAAGCAGACAGATCAAAGCAGAGCTACTGGCGGCTGGGATGTCACTCAATGGTAGAGTAGGTGGTCAGCTTTGGTTTAAAAATGTTCATTGTTGGGCAGGGGATTTAGCTCAGTGGTTTCACCACCTGCTGCACAAGCGCAAGGACCTGAGTTCGATCCCTGGTACCAAAAAAAACCCACAAAAAAATAAAAATGTTCATTGTTGACGTAGGGACTATCAACAGAAGCTCAGTTGCAGAATTCAGATATCTGAGATGAATTTGATGATAACAAAGAATAATTATGGGGAAATTTTATGCAAGAATGTAGCTAATACATTGAACTATACTCAGAATTATTATTTCCTTATCAACATGATCTCCAAATCAAAAATTAGTCTTATTTCCTAACTATTTTATATTCAAATTTCTGTTTCCAAGTGCTAAAGTTAAAAGAGTATTACTTTATTTTAGGTCATTTTGTTTGAATCCTGTGAATCTCTTTACCTTCAGCATCCAATGCTCTCACCATCAGTTCCAGAGGTGAATCATCTACATAGAGTTTCCGGGTCCGAGATACAATTTCAATGCTGTTTATCACATCAACCTTAACATCACAGTGTAGTTCATGGTCAGTCACTAAAATGAACAAAAAGCTGAGTACTGAATCCAACAGGTCACAAATCTATAGATATCTCAAATACTCAAAGCTTATACTAAAAAAATTTTTTGTAAATAGAAGGAAGAAAATGGAAAAAAAACTTTTGTACATAGGGAGGGGAGGGGCTTGAGAGGAGGTGGGATAAAATAAAATAAAATTTAAAGAAAACATTTTTTTGTATTTCAGGCTGGCCTTGAACTCACGGCAATCCTCCTGCCTCAGCCTGCCAAGTGCTGGGATTAAGGCATGCATCTAAAGATTATTAGGAAAAAAAAAAAAGACTGTAACAGCTGTTTTACTATATAGAAAACAGCATGCAAGATCTAAGAATCTGGGCCAGGGATTTAGCTCAGTGGTTCTGGCACCTGCCTCAAAAGTGCAAGGTCCAAGAGTTTGATCCCCCATACCAAAAAAAAAAGATCTAAGAATCTGTTTATAACAAGACTCTAGAACATGGTTCCCAAACACTCATCTATGTTTTCACTCATCCATGGAAAAATAAGAATAGGAGTTTAGCAGGGCATGGTGGTGCATCCCTGTGACCCTAGCACTCAAGAGGCTGAGGAGGACTGCTGTCAGTTCAAGGCCAGCCTGAACAGAGTGAGACCTTATCTCAAAAAACAAAGCAAAAATAAAAGTGATAGCCGGGGATTTAGCTCAGTGGTTCCGGCGCCTGCCTCACAAGCGCAAGTACTTGAGTTCGATCCCCAGTACCAAAAATAAAAGTGATAAAATTAAATTATATTTAAAACATTTATCAGGATTTGGTTCTGTTTTGTTGCCTGGAGCAGGAGATTGAAAGCCCTGAGACTGGCCAGGCTGTCCTCTCCTGTTCATCTCACTTCCCTCTACAAAGCTAAACTCAAGCCAGTCACCTGGAGACCTCTATGGCTTTCACCATGGCCCTCAGCAGTGCTGACATACAAAAGCAGATTAAGCCTGTGATGGCTTTCACTAAGCAAGAAGCCAATGTGAAAGAGTTCAACAGTGGGAAAGGTTCTCCTACACAGACCGAAGGACAAGATTATGGAATACTGCCTGGTGTGGTGGTGTACACCTTCAATCCCAGCACTTGGGAGGCTAAGGAAGGAGGATCACCACAAGTTCGAGGCCAGCCTGAGCTAGACTGTGAGTTCAAGGTCAACCTGAACTACATAGTAAGTCCCTGTCTCAAAAAACAAAAAAAATCACCCCAAAAAACAAAAAAGATGATTATGGACTACTACAAGAAGAAAGAAGGGACCAGGGATATAGCTCAGCAGTGCACTGTCTCCCTGGCAAGCACGAGGGCCTGAGTTCAATTCCTGGCACATAAAAAAAAAAAAAAGAAGAAAGAAAAGTAGATTGAGCAGCAGAAGAAAACTGAGATGTTCAATCTGATGACTCAAGGCTCCCAAGTGCTCAGAGCGAGATGACCTTATTGCCAGCCTATTAAGTGAAGCAAAACAGAGATTCATAAATTAGTCCAGCAAGGTGGTAAAAGATACAACCAGATACACGAAGTGCCGGGTGGACTAGTCCTCCAGGGTTGTACCAGATGTCGAGCCCCTGTGTTACAAAACAAGATCTCCCTTTGCTAAAGGCGACCCCTATGTACGTGATCACCACCAAGAAAGACGCTGATGTGCCAACTGATGAGAGGCCTTCGGGACCACTGGTGGAGTTGAGATTTATAACAGGGATCACGGAATAAAGGTTTCCAAGGCCTTGAAACCTGACTGGATCTCACAGGCCAGATGATGCCAAAAGTATGGGGAGTCTTGTTTGGTACCAATAGGCAAGGTTTTTTGTTTATTTTGAGATAGAGTTTCACTATGTAGCCCAGGCTAACCTTGAACTGGCAGTAATTTCCTGCCTCAGCCTTTTGAGTGCTGGGATTACAGGTGTGGACCACCACACCTGGCGAATAGGCAGTTTTCAGACTAAGCCTCTGGGAGGTGGAATTCTTCCTCTGCTGTTCTTTGAAGAAGCAAGGTTGTTTGTATTTTCTCTTGGCTGTTATAATAGTGCTCTGCATTTATTTATTTATTCATTCAATTATTTCGGTACTGAGAATCAAACTCAAGACCTTGGGCTTGCCAGGTAGGCACAGCGCCACTAAGCTATATCCCCGGCAGGGCTCTGAATTTATTTGTAGCTTGGCATCATGTCAGCAATGGGAGATTTCCTTTTTTTGGATTTTAAAATCAGTGGAGAATGTTAACAGATTATACAAGTTAATGTCTTCCAAAAAGGCTAAGGTGCATCAAAATATGCTTATTTCAAGAAATAGTATACTTTTTCTCAGAAAAAAACATTAAAAATTAAATTAATCATGCTGCTACTTGCACCCACACTAGGGATGGACATATAAATAAATACATTGTAGACAATGAGTCATTCTCCCTTCTGGAGAATGAAATTACAAATAAGCAAGGGAAGGCTAGACTGAATTGTGTGGTGCAGGATTAGAACTGAAGATACCACTGTGAGCACATGTTTAACATGTATGCAGACAGATACAGAAATATGGATGTGTATGCTTATACAGGCTGGCATGTACACATGACTCTCGTAGCTATCTGCCAAGAGGACCTACAAGCAATGACATTCCAGTAGCAACAAGCACACTTGCACCTGGATCTTGGTTTCTAAATACAATTCTTCAACAAAAAGTACCATGACTTGGGGCCTGGTATTTAGCTCAGTGGTTTTGCTGCCTGCTGCGCAAGCGCCAAGGACCGGAGTTTGATCCCCAGTACCAAAAGGAAAAAAAAAAGAAATACTAAACTGAGCATGGTGCCACATGTTTATACTCAGTTCTCTGGAGGCTAAGGTGAAAGGATTTCAAGTTCAAGGCCAGTCTGGGCAACTCAGCAAAACTCTGACTTAAAATAAAAAGGGCTGAGGGTATAGCTCAGTGGTGGGGGACCTGCCTACCATGTTTAAAGCCCTAGGTTCAATCCTCGGTAAGATACATACACACAAAATAAGAAAATATTAAAAAATTAAACAGCAAAAATAAAAACAATAGAGGTAAATCCAAAGAATGAGGGGCAAACCTGAAAGAGCTCTCAATGGTCAAAGTTGGAAAAACTAGAGTAGCAAAATAAATTGCAGTAACATTGGATTACAACCCCAAAATAAAATATCAAAGAGGACATACTGATATAATAATTGAATAAATAAAAAGATGGAAGGAAGGGAAGGGAACAAATGGGAAGGGGATGAAAAAAGAATTAAGATGTGTTATGTACACATCTTCTCATGATGTTTGTTTGTTTTTTGGTACCAGGGATCAAACTCCGGTCTTCCTGCTTGTGAGGCAGGTGGCGGAACCACTGAGCTAAATCCCCGGTCCCTCTCCATGATGAATGCAATCATTATGTACTACAAACATGTACTAATAGTATTTTAAAATTTAAAAAAAATTTTAATTAAAGGGAAGATGTAAGACATCTTTGAGAATAAACTTGTTAACAAATACAGGAAATGAGAGAGATAGAAAATTGACCTCAGAACACCACAATAGCAAGATTCATGGATAAATGGTAAAATTAGAGGGTGAAACTGGGGAAAAACAGGATATATCAAAATATCTTCCCCAAATATTTATTACTTATTGTGGTGGTGAATCTATCTATGTTCAAAGATTCTCTGACCCTCCTCCATCTAGGAAGTGAAACTTAATTCTTCTTCCTTTGAATGTGGGCTGGAGTTAATAATCACTTCACCTTTTTTTTTTTTTTTTTTTAAAGAAAGGGTCTCATCATGTTTCCCAGGATGGGTTCAAACAATGCTCCTGTCTCAGCCTCCTAAGAAGCTGGACTACAGGCATGTACCACCATGCGTGGTGGTCACCTACAGTGAACAGTGCACAGGAAGGGAGGAACAGAAACGTGAGCATGGAGAAAGCTGACAGATGCCATCTTAGCAGATGGATCAAGGTCATCACTGCCAGTGAGGAATCAACTGTACTCCCTTGGCATAACGCAATGAGGAGGGCTCTTCACCTCAAAAAGAGGTTTTTCCTCAAAAAATTCACAACCCCAAACTAATCATGAGAAAACATTAGACAAACCCAAACTGAGACAAAACATGAAACACCTAGCGTACTTCAAAGTGTCAAAAGTGACTTGAGAAATTTGTTATAGATCAGAGGATTCTAAGGAAACATGAAAACTTAATTTAGTAATAAAGTGTCTTGAATTGAATCCTAGAGCAAAAAAAAGGTCATTGGTGAAAATTGGGTGAAGGGCGTTTAGGAACTCTCTGTACTACTTTAGCATCTCTTCTGTACATCTAAAATTATTTAATCTTTGATTAATATTTAACTGAAGGAAACCGGAAGTTAAAAGACTTAAAGACCAAAACATTAGGTCTATGAACAAGAGCTAAGAGAAGTTAAAGTCTCACAAGATATGCTGGTTGAATTACCAGTAAGGAAGTGTTCCAGGGATAGCAAGGAAGGAAGGGAGGGAAGGAGGGAGTGAGGAAGGAAGGGTGTGTTTAGATAACATATCCACCAGGTAATCAGGCATAGATAACCCAGCAGAAAATGGGAAATTAAATCCCTCTCTTCAGTGGAGAAATACGCAAGGCAATGACAAAACAGAAGCAGCCCGACCTTACATAAAAAATATGAAAAGCCTTGTACACATAATGCCTACTCATCTGACTATTAGGAGGAAGCTTTTCAACACAAGGGCATGGTCTGTAAAGAAATAGTTACTTTGGATGAATTTAATTACAAGTAAATTTAGAGTAGGAAAAAATGTCACATACTTAAATTACCTGCTTTTAACATAAAAAGTAAACAACTTTATTAGACTATTTATTTTTGGTACGGGGGACCGGGGATTTAGCTCAGTGGTTTTGCTGCCTGCTGCGTAAGCGCAAGGACCCGAGTTCGATCCCCGGTACCAAAAAAATAAAATAAATATTTTTGGTGCCAGGGATCGAACTCAGGACCTTGTGCTTTTGAGGCAGCCACAGCACCACTGAGCTAAATCCCCAGCCTTTGTTTTTTGAGACAGGATCTCGCTATGTTGTTCAGGCTGGCATTGAACTGCTATGTAGCCTAGGCTGGCCTCGAACTCACGGTGATCCTCCTGCCTCAACCTTCTGAGTGCTGGGATTACTGGTGTGTGCCATCAAGTCTAGCCTTGTCTGTTTTGAGACAGGGCCTTACCATGTAGTTCAAGATAGTCTGGAACTCATTTTGTAGCCTAGGCTGGCCTTCAATTCATGGTGATCCTCTTGCCTCAGCCTCCAGTGCGGTGGGATTACAGGCATGCACCACCACGCCCATCTCATTAGATTATTATAACAAATATTTGTACCAGGCCATATCCTTCAGTATACTTTAATATACTTCAAGTCCATAATGCAGTCAAGTAATGAAAAAAGAAAACTGAGATAGAAAAAACTGTTATCTAGGGAGATGGAAAAGAAAAGATGGGGGGGTATGAATGAATATGAAGCCAGGATTGAGAGAACCAAAGGGATACAGAGTCAGACAAAAAAGCTGCAAAAGCTAGGTATGGCGGGGCATGCCTATAATCCAAATTACCCGGAAGGGTGAGGCAGAAGGATTGCAAGTTCAAGGCCAGTCTTGCAACTTAACTGTCGCAAAATAAAATATAGCTCAATGCTGGAGAGCTTGCCTAGCATCTAGCATGCATAAGGCCTTTGGTCTGATCCCCAGTGCTGAAGAAAAGAGAGAGGAGAGGGCAGAAACAGCAAACATTTTTTGACTTGCATATACTACCTTTCAAATCAGATCTTGCTTATACTGCACTGCTGTAACTAGTCAATCAATAAGCATGTACTAGCCGGTATGGTGGCACATGCCTGTAATTCCAGCACCCTGGAAGGCTGAGGCAGGAAGATCTCAAGTTTCAGCCCAGCCTGTGACTTAGAGAGAGCCTGTCTTAAACTAAAAAATGAAAAAAGGGCTGGGGATATAGCTCAGTGCAAAGGCCCTAAGTTCAATCACCAGATCCAAATCAAACAAACAAACAGTAAACTGAGGATACAAGAAGTTTGCCTCTTAGAAAACTGAGATTAAAGAAATATTTTTTCACTATATAACTTTTTAGATTCTTTAAATTTTTTTTTTTTTTTTGTACCAGAGATCAAACTCAGGTTTTTGTGCCTGCAAGGCAGGTGGCAGAACCACTGAGCTAAATACCCAGGATTCTTTGAATGTTTTGCCAAATGGAGGCAACACCTTGTCAAAAAGAAAAAAAATTACAAGAAATGTAGCATTCCTACCACAGAGCAGGGCCACCTCAGGACTCTTACCTTTACCTATCATCTCTGGCACAGCCAGTTATAGCTGGTATCTAGATGCTCCCCAAAGCCTAATGCATTCATAGGTGGGGCTTTTCATAGGTGGCTGGATCTAGAGTGTGTGACACTGGGATTAGGGATGTGATGCTGGGATTCATGGTGGGATGCTAGGTTTAAGGACACCCCACTCTGGTTGTGAGTGCTACGCACCCTATTAGCCTGGATAGAATGTAAAGGACAGAAAGGGGGTTGCTGTTGTCACTGCTGGTCGCTTGCTCCTTCTTCACTATTTTGCTGCTTTGCTGCCTTCTGCCTGCCATGGACTGTTTTTCCTCTGTGAGGCCCCTCTGCCATGACCCCCTGCCTTGGAGCCAGCCGTTTATGAACTGAAACTAAGACAGGTACTAATTGTCTTTACCACACTATTTAGCAAAAACATTACAAACAAATTTATAAGCACCTTAATATCAATAGTGTTTAAATGGCATGGTTTTGTTTTTTGGGTTTTTTTTTTGAGACAGGGTCTCACTATGTAGTCCAGGCTAGCCTCGAATCCATAGTGATCCTCCTGCCTCAACCTCCCACGTGCTTCCACTGTGCATGGAAATAATTTTTTCTTTATAAGCATCTTATAGATAGTAGAAAACTTGCCAGGAATGGTGGCGCATGCCTGCATCCCAGCACTCAGGAAGCTGAGGCAGGAGGATCACTGTGAGTTTGAGGCCAGCCCAGGCTACATAGTGAGACCCTGTCTAAAAAAAAAGGAGGGCCGGGGATTTAGCTCAGTGGTTCCAGCGCCTGCCTTGCAAGCACAAGGTCCCAAGTTCAACCCCTGGGACCAAAAAAAAAAAAAAAAATTGATGGAGAAATAAGATACTTTAATGACAAAGAGCACCTTAGGAACTTCATGAATACCAAACCAGCAATCCAAAAAATTTTAGAAAATATCCTAGGAACAGACAATGAGGATCACAACCCCAGGAAGCAAAGCAGAAAGAACTCATAGGGTGTGACAAGAAATTAAAAGTAAAGGGGAAGAACGAAACAAAAAGAAAAAGTCATGACAATGATAAGTCAATACATTTCAGTTATAACCATCAAAGTTAATGGTCTCAATTCACCAATCAAATGAAATAGACTGGCAGAATGGGTCAAGAAGCAAGATCCAACAATACGCTGCCTACAAGGAACACACTTCATTCAACATGAAACTCATAGACTGAAAGTTAAAGGGCAGAAAACAATACTCCATGCGACGGGAACCTGAAAAAAGTAGGAATAGCTATCCCCTTGGCAGATCAAGTAGATCTCAAACCAACACTGATTAAGAGAGACAAAGAAGGACACTTTATCATTCTAAGGGAACAGTCCAACAGGAAGAGATGACAATCATAAATATCTATGCACCAAACACTAGTGTGCCCAATATATAAAACAAATACTAATGGACATGAAAAGTCATGTATGCACTAATACAATAGTACTGGGGACCTCAATACCCCATTGTCACAAATAGATCAACTAGACAAAAAATAAGTAATGAGATACTAGAACTCAATCAAACTCTTGAACAAATGAACTTAACATGTTTTCAGAGTGTTCCACCCCACAAAATCAGAATACACATTCTCCTCAGCTACACATGGGTCATTCTCCAAAATAGACCTCATACTCACACATAGAACATGTTTAAA